ATTTTTCATGAATTCTTTCACTGTGTTCTAAGCTTATTTTGGCTTTTAATTTGTATCCATACTATCTATCGGTTAAGTATCATTTTAAATATGAGCGAGTCAAATATTTTATTCTTTTTCTTGAACTCATTTTGATCCGTCCATATCTAATTTATTTCATTCGTTGCCATTTCTATTAACAATTTAAAATCCTAGATGAGATGACCATAAAAACATAGACAATTTGTTCTAACAAATTAATCATGACCTCACCAAAACCACCAAAACACAAGTCTGAAAACCATCAGTTCTTTGTGAATAGTAACACTAGTCACTAGCTCCATGCTTCGTTAAAGCAAAAATCTAACATAAAATTTGACCAACATGATTGGCTATGCATATTCATTATTGTACTTGAAGAATATCCAATATACTCCTAAACTTTGTCACCATATACGCACGAGATATTGATATGATATAGTGGGCCTTGTATTCAAGTTGAAATTATCTTTTGCTTTCTAGTCATTGAACACTATACATAGAATCTCAATCTCCAAGGATTTTTCCATTTTTGGCTTAGGCATCTACTAAAGAGCTATCACTTGGAGGGAGAAATATATCAAAACCATTAAGTACTTTTGAAAAAAAATAAATTATTCACAAATGTGAAAGGGGTTGAACAAGTGGATTTAGACTTCATTGAAAGAAAAAAGACATTACCCTATATCTATATCTCCTTTGCCTGCCATAAATGCTAATTGATTTTTTTGGCTAGAGATAGACATGATCGGTGAAAATTCATGTAATCGATACTAATTTATTCAGATTGATGCATTGTTATTGTTATGATGATAGTTATAATATGTACTGCTGTAACTACTCCTATTAAGAAAAATTGTATTTGGTCATCTTGATCTTGTCACATTAATTTATTCGTGACACAATTGTTACAACATTATTAGATATATTTTAAAATAATTTACCAAAAAAATTACTTTTATTCTACTTTAGGATTCTACATGAATGGTATAACATTAAAATTTCCTTTTTAGTTTAGGAATATTCAATAATATGTCTTTCACGCCAATTAACTAATGCACTAAAAAAAAAAGAATTGAAGACATATAACTTCGATAGCTAAATAACAAAATTTAGTGCTAATCATATTTAACAATTGTTTAATGATAATTTTTATTAAAAATGTTAGCTAAAATCAAACTATTTTGGTGCAGTCACTGTCATCTTTTGTGCTGTTATGCTGGATTTGTCGCGCAAGATATTTATCATTATTCAAACACGCATGATGGTGTATTACATAAATTGGATATTATGAATATAAACCCATAAATAAACATAACGAGTAAAACAAATAGAGAAAAAAATCATTAAGGGTCAATTTAATTGCCAATTTATGAGATCAACAGAACAAGTGTAAAGTTCAATTTTTAGGATAATATTTGTAAGCTTGTGGTAATTTGTCACTAAGGTTCTTATTGGCTATTAGGCCATTGTAATTAAAAAGATCAGTGGGGTTTCAAATTGACCTGAAAGTTGAATATATATGCAAAAAAGGAAAAAATATCACTTTTGTAAAGTCAACATTCTTAAGCACGAGTATTCTGAGTTGGGAACATGAATTGTGGTGAATAATTGAGATTTTTTATATTTAATTAAAAAAATTAATTGAGTTTCAATGTAAATATTAAACATCAAATAAAAAAGAGCAACTTTCACATATAGCAAACATAAAAATCATATTTATATGTTATAGCTATAGTTTGCATAATTGCGCTCCATAGCAAATTTTATATTTGCTATGGAGCTTTTGATTTGTATATTTCGCTAGATACATCCAATTTATATACAAATTGTTCAGTTTTGTATAAATTCATTTATACAATTGGATAATTTGTATATAAAACGTTTCAGTTAGGCTTGGTCATTGTATGAGTACATATAGCTATAATTTGTATATGTACGTGTTCTTTGTACAAGTGTATATGTGAAATCTATATGCAAATCTCTCTCTCGCTTTATACAACATAAATTATACATTGTAATTTGTATAATTTGTATTTGTATAAAGCGAGCAAGAGAGAAAGACAAAAGAGAATTGGGCAGGGGAATATCTGTATTTGTATAATTATAAGTGTATAAGACGAAAATATACGTGTTTGTATTTGTAAATACAGTTTTCTCTCGCTTTATACAAACACAAACACAAACACATTTTATACATTTGTATACCGAATGAGTAATTGTATACCGAAAATGACTAATTGTATACCGAACCAGATGACAAAAAAAGGGATGTTTGCTGCGAATTACAAATAAAATAAACTATAGCTATAACATTTAATTTGAATTAATAATTTGCTATTTCATACGATTTTTCCAATAAAAAAACACCCTGATTTAATAATTGCTAGCAATTACTATTAGACCCAACTCTTCCATTTTATTATTTTTTCGCCATATAAAAAATAATTTTTTAATTGTTCACTTTAATATATATACTCATCTACTCTTTATCAAAAATATCTTAGGACTTTAAATTAAATGACTCAAATCATCATATTACTTAATAAAGGTTTTACAAAAATATTCAAGGATGTATATTGCAACTAAATGGCTAACATTTTATTAACTAGAACTAGTCCACACTTTCATAAATAACAATATTATTACGTGAAGTTAAAGATTATATATTTTCTTTAAAAAAAATACTACACTAAATACAAGTAGCAGAGATAAAAACAAAAAAAGAAAACTTTAAATTATTGTTGTTACTATGTATATGTATACATATATTTAAAAGTATATTATTAAGATATGACTTTAGATCACTAATTTTATTGAAATGTTTTTAAAGTATGAGTAAATTTTTATAAATGAAATATTATCATATTATTTTTAGCTTGCATTAAAAATCTTAAAGTAAACAACGATGTTTGTGTTGTCTAATATATAAGGCGAACCTTTGATTCTTTCGATCGGGCAGACCCACACCGCTGTCAAGGCATATGAACTCATGGAGCTGATAAGGGATATGAATCAATTACCTAGAAAACTTTAATATTTTATATAGGTTAAATTTTGTTCCACTAAGTGAAATTTTAGAGTATTAAATGTAAATGTTATCATCCTTTATCAATAAGAAGAAGATTTTAAATAATCAATTTTTTTTGAAGTATAAGAAATTTATGGTTGAAGTTAACAAATTGTAAAAGTTATTGAAATAATGTTGTTAAATTAAATAAATTACTAAAAAAATAGATCTTTATTAACCGATTTTAAAGGTAAAAGGAATGCCGAACTCAATCTCTCCCCCTCTCCTTGCCACACAAATAAAAAATAGTGTTGGACGAATTTCAATAGTTGGTAATATTTTTATATTGTCAATTTTTGTGTAAAATTTTAGGTCCGTCATTACTTTTAACTTCAATTCAATTCTTTGATTGATTTTTTTAAATTTCGCTTATGCAATTTTAAACTCAAAATAGGTTATTTTATATATTATCTTTAAAAACTAGACCACAAACTAAAAAAAAACAGTTGTCGTCTCAATGCAAAATGCAAATTGATATTGTCATAATTTTTCATAAAGTAAAAACACAACAATAAGAAATGAATGAAAAAACCCACTAACTCGCCACCTTAAATTTTTTATTTTCTCAATTCTATTATATTTGAAGAATCAAGAATTTGCTAGGAATTTTAAATTGAAGAGGACACAAATCAATTTATAGTGCACGAGTAAAAAAAGCATTACTATGTACCTTTGTTTAATTTTTTTATTTTTTTATTATAGCAACAAGAAACTAACACCTTGTTTGGAGTTAATATAAATACAATGTTTGCTTGATTGTTACTTAAATTTTATTCTATTGTTTAAATTCAGTGTTAGGGTAATGGCAAAAAGACTCATTTTGTGTAACGATCGATTTGGTATGATTACGTTGTTATCTTAATATTTCTTATCATTTTGTCTTTATTTATTATTTAATAAATCTATTTTATTCATTTACCCTACCTTTTCATAGTAGCTCTATCTCGTACCCTACAAATTTTTGTAGATTTGTCACTCAAATTATGGATATGTGACATTATGTAACGACAAAGAGCAATAAAATCTATCCAAAAATTATATTCATTGAAACTATACAGTATGATACAATACAATACAATTATGAAACAATATATAACAACCGTCCGAACAAAGTGTAACTGACAATCACTATAGCGTGCTCCTAATTACTGTTTTTGGTACATATCATTAAAATAATAGAAAACAACATGCTTGAAGGACTATAAACTAACTGATATTAATAATTGTCGTCAACAAACATAATAGGACTAATTGAAGGACCAAAAAAGACAATTTGAAGTAACCTAGCTACTAAACGCCATTTGCCCATTACAATATTATATATAGGTTAAACTAGAAAAATTGCAAAAGTGGACTTTCCCATCTTTTTGGAGTCATATTTTGTTTTGTTTGTTTTTCTTTTCCCCTCAAATACCCTTTAATTAAATTTAATGTAGTTAAATATCTTGAGAGATAGAGGCATTTTTGCATGGCCAAACACGTAAAATAATAATACTATATAGTTGTCATTTCCATATACTTCAGCGCTATATAGAGACAAAATTAAAGTAGAAACGGATTTATGCCGCTCTGTTTATAGTAAAAAAAATTAAACCTGTATAATACTATTAATTACTTGCACGTTATAAGATAGTTTTTTAATTTTTCATTTAATCGTCCTTATTCAGTAATTTTAAGTTTAAAAGGAAAAGAAAAAAGGAATATGGGAATTAAACAAAAAAAGATACTATATATTGGAATAGAAAGATTCATTCATTAATACGTTAGAATTTAGATACAATTAGAATAAAATCAAACGGATAAAGACATAATCAAACTTAATTAGGCACACACAATCAGACCTATGACTAATAATTTTCAAGTACATAATAACATTAATTAGATAATTATCACTTAATTAATTAACCAAGCTTCTAGACTTCATGATAATTAGGAGACCTCTATGATTGCCTTTGGCTTAATTATCATGTCCTCATTAATAATCACATTAAGTTGAGGCAGGTTAATTTCATTCTTCAGCTCATGAGCAGTAACCATTGGAATTATTTCTGAACACACCATTGCACTCAACTTCACAACATCAATAATTTGCTCTTTCAGCATTTCTTCAGAAAGCTTAAGCTCTTCATCAACAACAGTTTCTGTATTTTCTAATCTCACTTCTTTGGTCACCTTTTTTGCGTTCTTGTAAATCAAATAAAGAGTCATTTGAATCACTCCAAGGCTAAATCCCAGCACGTTTGGTATCTATTTCAAAAATAAAATTAGAAATCATTAGGACATTTTAACAAAATAAAAATAAAAATTGAGTTTTTTTATTTTTGTTTAAACTTACAGCAATATTGTAATCTTTGCGTAGTAGACCATAGAAAAACCACATAACGGCACTTAATGTCAGAAAAAATGATAGTTGAAATGGCATATACTCCACACTTTTGGACCTTATAACTTGTCGCTGCATTCAAAAGAAAAAGAATATTCAAATAAATGTGAATTTAACGAAAAATATTTATAATACTCTAATAATTAAGATGTGTGCAAGTTGGCTCAGATACTTACGAGAACACCTAAAGGTGCAACGAAGACGCAGAAAGAAAATATAAGGCAAATCCATCCGACAATTTGAGCACGGTTGGAGCCTTTTGAGAAAAACTGAGTTAGCAGAATGATTAAGCCCAAACCAACGACGTTCATTGAAAGAAGCAGCTTCACGGTGTCCATCTAGAAGAAAAAAGTTCAATAGTTAGTTAAATAAGATTTGAACGTACAATATCGAGATTTTTTTTATACATGTTATAATATGTACCTTGGCTTTTTTGGTGGCATAAAAGAGGAAGAAGCAAATGTAGAAAGTTTGAATGAAACAGCCAACAGAGTTAATGGTAATGAGAAGAGTTGTATCAGGTTTAAGAAATGCATAGTAAATCCAAAGCATGGCACTGAATAATCCAACCACGTAAGGAACTGATTGGAACCCTTCTGTTGATTTCTTCTTGTAAATCTTATAAAACGTTGGCCTGCAATTAACAAAATATTTAATTAAACTCATAACGTTACGTTGTTTTTATTTTCGAAAAAAGAAGAAGAAAGAAGTATTGACGTTGCATGGTTGAAATACTTACACTGGAGCAAGGTAGACCATGAAGGAGACAATGTTGCCTAAAATATATAAAAAGTAAAAAAATCCAATTTAATGATTGTATTTAGAATGAGGATAACATGAAATTAAATCAAATCCAAGAATGGATTTCTAGACAATAATGTTTATGTATATAAATGAAATGTGTTTCAATACGACTGTTTTTTAGTGGAAAAGATAATGAAACGAGGTGATTTCCATGCAAGAAACCATTAAATGCACTAAAAGAGAAAATAAAATAACATAGACACAATATCTTTGTACGTATAACAACTAAATCTTATAGTTTAGTAATATCAGTGAAAGTCTTTCAAATGGTAAATGAACCCCTTAATTTCTCTACCATTTCTTTTATGAAAAGAAGTAGGGAATTCGAGGCTAGGATTTTGTACGTCTATTTTGAAATATTTTTGGCGGGATAGAGTGGAAGTGTTCATGATAAATAAATAAATATATTTGTATTTTCTTTTACCTAGGAGGCCAAATACAAAAGCCAAATGAGTCATCATATTCTCTTCTAAACAGAACAAATAAACAAAATTCTCTAACTCTTGTTAGTTAGTAAAAAATAATTCTTTGTATGTAGCTTACAAGCACATTTTGAACAATGCAAGAATGAGCCATTTATATAGTGGATCATGATTTAAAAAAAGAGCCTAGATTCAAAGACCTAAAGTCTAATGTAACACAACAATCCTTTTTCACTTTTTAATTTTATTACTCTATTATTAACCTTTACAGTTGTTAAAAAGCAGTGTATTATTTATGAGAAATCCAAATTGCTTTCCTAGGGCTAATGCTCCATTTAACCATATTTAGTTATTTTCTACCTTGGACAGAGCCCCTTACCAGCTCATATAATGGAAAAATACTCAAAGCCAAATTGGACCCCACATTTTCCTTTATGATGTGTCAACCACCAATCCAATTGGCCTTAAGGTTTACAACTCAGACTATAACAGTTTTGGTAGGGTTTGATACCTATAAGTTAAAAGCATAGTAATGACCTTATTCAGTAAATTAAAAGTTGAGGTGAGGACCAATAGTGTGTTGCCATGTCAGCATCAATAATATATGTGGAGGAGGAATCATTCACCAAGTGTATCCACTATATTATTATTAGTATTATTTTATTAAACTTATTATAATGTTCTATGTATTTTCTTTAATTTCCTTGTTGGGTTATATTTGAATGTTGCTATGGATCAGCCTGCTTTTTCCTATTGAGAGATATTCAAATTGTCAAAGTTGTGAGCAGCCCAACCCACTATTACTTTATGAAAATAACAAGAGCTAAGAATTTGCCCACATAAGTTTGTTCAGTTCACCTAGTTGCCATTTGCCAACTACAAGGAATTAACTATAAAATTTATCGATAATTTCTAGCTAATTTGTCCTAAAAATGCTCCTAGCTAATTGAATTTTCTTATAATTCATAACTAAAATAGCTTGACTTGTCAATCCAAATCAATATAAATTTTAGTAGCTAGCATCACGATAAATATAATATAATATTTCATTACTTGCATTTTGTTTCTGATTCTCTTAATTAATCATGTTGTCACAAATTCAATACAATGTGAATAAAAACTCCATTTAATTAATTCTGCATTAGAGTGGAAAATTAAAGGTACGTATAGATATTTATATGAGTCTGAATTATGTGAATTCAAATTTGAAATACTACAACAATTCATTTGATTTACTGTACTTAACTATATTATTATTATTATTATTAATAATAATAATGATTTTTTTAATACATATACATAATCTAAGTTAAACTATTAAGTTAGAATGATTTCATAGCAACTTTAATTACTCTACTTTTAAGAGTTATTAATTTGGTTATATAGACCTTTTCAAATTTGAAATTTCAATTGTTGTCAGATCCATATTGATTTTAAAAGTTTATTCTGGAGTAGAGCAATATATTAGATCATTTCACTTGTAAAAGTTCAAAACTCCACCATATATTATATGGAGTAGATTTTTTCCTCGGTTAATTTTGTGGGAGAGATAAAAATATAGTGTCTTAACAATGAATATGAAAGTTACAAACACCAAAATTCACACATCTTGTCGGATCAATAATTATATTCCCTAAAATTGAAAGAATTATTGTTTATGCATAATGATTAATAGGAAACATCCTTTTGGCCAGAAAAAATTAGTTAGAATTTAGCCAAAATGGTATTTTACCTATGTTATTTTATCTTTTTAAACATTTTTACCCTTTTAACTTTAATACATTTTAACTAAAAAATGAAAAAAAAAATCAATTTATTTTAAAATAAAAAAGATATTTCCCGATTAATATTTCCTCCATCCTATATTAGTTGATCACTTTTTCATTTTGCACGTTGCTTAAAAAATCATAAATAGGAAGATGATTTTACTAAATCGCCCCTTAAAAAAACTTGTTGAGAATTTTACAAACAAATGTGAACACTTTCCAAAAAAAATTAATTGTAAAGTAATATAGGAAAAAAATAATTAATGTATTCTTAATTTAGTAAGGTGATAAACTAATATGGAATTGAACGGAGGAGTATATTCTGATACAAAAGAATTTGTATAATTAATTAATTCAACCTTTTGAGATTAATCAATTCAAAAGAGACATTGAGAATTAAAAAAAAATGTGTGGCTCCCTGAATGTTTGGAAAAGATAAGCTAGGACTCAGTTGTAATACTAGTATTCCCACCATTTTTTTATTAGTTTGTTATATTTTTTTAGTCCATTTAAATAAGAATGCCTCTTTTCTTTTTAGGACAACTCTTTAATCTTATCTTTTCATATAACATGTTTAAGATCACAAAATTAAAGAACATTTTGGTACATTCTACCTAACTTTAATTCAAAACCTTAAAATATACAAGTTTTTTTTTATTTTCTTAAACTCCATGCCAAATTAAACCAGAAGGAGTATTTGGAAAAAGGCTGAATCTCCGACCTGTCAAATTGAGTCTAACTTAAGTAGTGGTATATTATAAAATGAAGTTTTTCTTCGTCCGTTAGACCTCGAAAAAGTGTAAATTAGTGTGCCAATGTTTATTCGATCTTTTATTACTGGGATATTCCATATTTGACTACTATTCAGTATTGAGTATTGACAATCACAAGTTTTTAGTTATTTCAAAGAATTATTCGTCACCAAATGTTCGTTTGCAAATTCTGTCAATTGATTCTTCACTGAAAAGGTTTAGCTTATAGCCAGTTAGCCACTAGTATTCTTCTCATATTTAATCGGTCAGTTGAACTGTGTGACTATCTCATTTAAAAATTTAAGTTGATAAAAAGATCACACTTTTATTAGTTAATTGTATTTTCAACAAGCCCTCTCACGTGGACTTTTAATTTTTTTCATAGGTCAAACACGTGAAACTCCTTTTTGATATGAATGATTATGAAATTCGATTTTAGGACCTCTGTCTGTCTCTAATATAATGTTGAAGTGTGTGAGTGTGAGTGTGTCAATCTCATCTAAAAGTCTGTCAAAGAAAAATATAGTTTTTATTAGTTAATTATATTCTTAACACGGATAATCGGGTTCATCAAATTGCATAATTTAAATATCAAAATTATTATTTGAATAATGAGGCAGAAGGAAATTAATGCTTCCACTTTTCTTGCCTAAGCTATTCGTGGGTATATTTTCTTGATAAATACTTACCGCCCCCGCCCTTCCTTTTTTTTTTCTGCTATAAAGTTTATTGGATCATTAAATACTCTAATTCTAAACATGAAAATAATATATTAAAAGTAAAAAATTATGAGAAAGTTTTATAAATTATATTATAATAAATATTTTATGCAAAAAAATACTTATAAAAATTATTTACATAACTTTTTTTTTTAATTTTAAAACGGTACTTTTCAACAACGAAATCTATTTTTTTTTTCAAAATATATTTTTATGGTCAATAGCGTTATATGTTTTAATCTTCAAAATGATTATAAGGTCGGGAGAAAGTAATTTTATCTTAATTTGATAATTTTAATTATACAACATCCAGAGTTTATTAAGTGATTACGTTCCAATAAATTGTTCCTCTTTATTAATAGTCTGTTTGACTAAATTTTTAGGAGGTCAAAGGTATTTATTTTAAACAGATTAAAAAAATAATTTTTCACCAAAGGATACACTTGAAAAACTTTTATAAAGCTTGATTAAAAATATTTTGTTAAATATATTGGCCAAACACAAATAACTTCTCACAACATATACTTTTCAAAAAGTATTAAAAAATAAATTAATTTTAAAAGTTTGGTTAAATAATCTATAAATGACACTTGGGTAGCTTTCATTTCAGGTTATAAAATAATATATTATATCATATTTCATGTTGATTATTGCCAACCTTAAAACAGAACTTAGCACTAGCAATTTCATTCTGCACCATTTGTCTGGTATAAATGTCACTAAAGATTCTCTCTTTATTCCTCTATTTATAATTTTACTATATGTCTATCTCTCTCCAATAATTTATTAGGATAATTCAATTACCGTTAGGATTAATAAGGTAATGTTAAACAGTTAAAGTTTGAACTTTCATAGTACTTTTTCTTAGTAAAAATTTAATTGTATGGCTTTTAACAAACTCCTCGCCTTTTCTAAGAACTTGAGTATAATCTCATGATAAGAGGTTTTTGTGGTTTGGTTGGATGATTTTTCACTAAAAAGAAGTTAAATTAATTAAGTTATTTTTTTGAAATATTGAAATTAAATTAAATTGATTTTTTATTGCTTCAGTCTTTGTCAATTTTATTGAATTTTTTGGGTTTATTCCTTTTTTCATCGTTTTTTTTAGATATAATATAGGCTTAAGTTATCAGCGTTTCTTTAAAGTTGTCAGCATAATCCACTTAGACACCTCAACTAAGACTATTACCTATTATACACTCTAATATTAAGGAATATGTATCTATTGAACATGAAATGAAAACTTTTTTAAAAAATGTTCTCCGTGTAATTCACACGCATGCAAACACAAATAAAATTACGACACATGGCACATGGACCCAGTCTCGCAATAAAATATAATTTTTTCAATCTTAAAAAATGAAATAAAACTTTCCAGACTTTATTTAAAAATCACAAAAAGATTAAAAAATAAAATCTCCCACCACCCCGCACCCCTACCTAACCCTTTGACCTTTCTTCTTCCTTTACCCTGTGAACCCTGCCAGACGCCATCAATTTCTCCATTGATAACGAACATAACAAAATAAAAATTTCCGGCTCAAATTCATTCTCATATCATCCGTTATTCTCTATTCATTTTGAGATTTTTGTGAAAATAAATGGACGTCAATAATTTATTTTGAAATTCGCGACGAAGAAAAATCGAAAGTATGTTGAATTTTTTAATATCATCTTTAATAAGTTTAATGAGTGGTGATGTTTGTTCAATCGGAGTGATCGAAAATAAAGATGGACGAATATTGATCAATTTTTAACTCCAATGTTCAAAAAAAAAATTCTTCTCGCATATTAAATTAGCAGATTCAGAATTTTTTTACAAAACATGAAGAAAAAAAAGAACGAAA